ATGATGTTTTTTTTTTGAAATATATTTATATAAATTATTTCTGATATAAAGATTATAAAACGTAATAAATCACGTATATCACCTGTTGAAAATTGACATGTTAATTCAACATGATTTTGTATTGTATCAAAATATATTGATATAGAATCTATGAATGCAATTGAATATGGTTGATTATTAGAAGCATGATAAAAGACTTTTTTCATAAATTGTATTAGGTGTTGTTTCAATGTCATTTTAATTTGTTTCCTTTGATATAACTATACAAAATCCTAGGAAAACAAACAAAGAACAGATTTATATTGTTTCTTATTTTCTCAAATTAATTTTCATTTACTATAAGAATCATCCTAAAAATTTAATGCTGTGGAAAAAGTCCAATACGTTTTCGGAGTTCACGAGTTCAAACTTATAGAAAGTTTATCGAAATTTTCGAATGCAATTTATTTCGAAATATAGTATTAGAAAGACGCCGTTTTCTTTAATTGTAATAGTACAAATAGCACGACTGAGAATTTGATCAATAAGATTCGAGAGGAATTATTCGGTCATTGTACTAATGTAGCTTAAATGCTTTCCTTTACGATTTGTATTATCTGAAATTCTGCATATTTTCTATTTCAAAATATTTTTCGAAATTTTGAATTATTCAAAAGTCTCATCTATTACTAGCACATAAACAATGTCAAAGTAAAAACAAAAACATTTCTTTTAATTGGATTAAAATTTTTATTATACATATATATTTATCTATTTCGATAAATTAAACTAAAATATACCGGTGACATCATAAATGGTAATCATTTTTTATAAGTTACATTTTTAAGCATTTGTTCATAAATTTTTCTTGTTATATCCATAGGACAATTAAGATTATTAAAATCTTCTGTAATAATATCGTTTGATATTGTTATTGATAATATTTATAAAATTCATGATATATATTTAGGTAATAATTGTTTATTTAATGGTAATGGAAGGAATTGTTCAACTAATAAAACTAATAGAAGACCACTTTCATCTAAATGTATTCCTTCACAAAAAAAATTAATGACTTGCAACTGATGTATGATGTATAAGATCAAATAAAAAATAATAATAATAATTGATAATGTGTTGTTATTGATATAAAATGTTCAACATATAATTCATGATGATATATTAAATCACAATAAGATTGTAATTGACTACTTATAGATAAATGTGTTATTAATGATGATGGTGTTAATATTGGTGACCAGCATGCTTCTTGTGTATAATCAAGCATATTCAGAATATGTATCCATTGTAATAATAATGCGATATAAAATGATGATACTAATAATTTAAAACATTCATTTAAAATAGTTAAATATGAAAATGTATCAAGACGATGTACAGTTTCATCATGAATTCATAATTGACGAAAATCATTTACAATTGTTCGAAATTGTTTAGCCAAAATAAAATTATCGATCTTATATAAGCATAGAAATTTTAAAGTCAAATGTATTTCGCTAGCTCATTAGTAATTAATGAATTGCAGGAAAGTTTTATCTTCAAATTAATAGGTAATATTTACATAAACATAATCGAATGCAAGAGAAACTAATGTCATATTGATTTGACCACATAATTGTCGAGTATTAGTTAAAATTCGTAATATTACGTCATGTAAAACACGAAGAAAAGCTCTGAAAACAAAAACGAGAATAAAAGTTTTTAAATTATAAATAAAATCATTTCGAATACTTACGCACTAAAAGTTTCATCTCGTGTTCCATTAACTGATAATAAAACATCATTCTATCGTGTTAATATAGTATATTCAGTTAAATTTTGTACAAGATATCGAAGTATTATATTTATATTGATTAATTATCGATTTGTAGATTGACAATTGACATTCTAAAAAAAATTTTGAACTACAGGAAAATTTTATAAATAAAAACAACGGACATTTCTATTTGCTAATGCTCGAAAAGCAACAACAAATGGATCAATTGATCGTAATGCAACTGATGAGACAACATCAAATAGTGTTAATTGTGTGGAATAAATATCCAAAAGTGATTGATCCTATTTGAACAAAAAATAACCTGAGATTGTAAATGAGCAAGAAGTAAATCGACAATTTGTCGTGAAAGACGTTCCCATTCATCATCTTCATTTCGAACACTATTAACAATAACTGTTAACAATCGTAAATCCTATAACAATATAAATTCTATTATTATTTTTTCAGTACATACACATGATATGAAAAGATACTTTTATTTATAATAATTAAGACACCTAGTTTTCCTTCAAACTCCAATACATAACAACAAGATGATTATTTTCAGATCATCAATTCGTTGAAGTGTGAGTGTGGGTTCAATCGAGGAGAAAAATTACATCTACACACCCACACTCACACCCTCACGAGTTTCTAAGATATTTGAGACTTTATAGAAGGACACTTTTTGTTCACTCTCATTTAATAAAACTTTTTAGGAATTTTAATTATTCGCATAACTCGAACAAGAAAAAAAATCATATAAAACTGGTTCTAATGCTGCTAAAGCTTAATAAAGAATTTTAACGATCATTTCTTTTTCTCGAAAATGTTTTTTTTTACTTCCTACCATGTGTTTCAGGTTCATGTCCACTTGCTAATAATTAATCATAATGTTTTATTAAATCTTGTATTTTAATAACTTGTTTTGAATGAAGTGTATCATGTGATAACATAACAAGAAATTCAGCAATACAATAAATAAAATGCTATTTAAAAATAAACGAAACGATTAGAAATGCAACGAATTTCATCAGCTTCTAATTAACTATAATTAACACGAATTAAAAGTAATTAAACAAGTAAATCGAGTACAGCAGCTTGAAAATTACTTTCATTTGTATTAATATATTTTTTAAGACTAATTTTTTTTTAGTTCAATAAAAACTAAAATAGAAAACAAAAAACAGACAGAATAAATCAAATTCGTTTTTTTTTGTTTATTTTACTGTCGTATTGCACTATTTTCTATGAATTGCTCACTATTTATACTTGATGCATAACGTGAACCAAATAAAATAAATTATCGATTGTCGAATACTTATTGTATGAATATAAGTTAAAGAATTATTTAATGATACTCGTGAAGAAACATTTGAAGATTTAATAAAAACTAAATTAAAAGAATATTTTTAAATGAATGTTGTGTTAACAGAAAAAATGATTTTCAAATTTCGAATTGATAGCGTGTCTTCCAGATCGCTCACATAAACTAGTTGAATGTAATACTCGGATTTAAAGATAGAACCGAATCAAAAGATCTGACACTTTTACAACAAAACTACTCTCGTTAAGATCATCGATATTCGTAAAATCAGTTTTTCTGTTACTATGACATTCTTATATTGAAATTTTCCTTTTCTTGGAAAGACCCTTCCAGAAACCTTCATTATAAGATTTCCATCTAAAGTTTTATCCATAGACAAGTTTCAGACACAATACAACATCCTAAAGGTTTTAGCTTAAACAATAAATATTTACTATTTAAAAGAAGTTACCTTTTGTGTACATTGAATGTTGATTTAAAATAATTAAGTGTTTCTTCCAAATTTTTCTGATAAATCTTGTGTAGAAATAAGACTTAGAACTGATTTCATAGACAATAATGATCATTTTCAGATGAATTTAATAAACTTTTATGTAATTGATAAGATGAACGTATTAATTCGAATAATTTCCAAAAGTACCTAATTGTGTACGATTAACTTTTTTATCTTTGTCTGTGCTTGATGTTGTTGATGAGTCTTTATTATTCTCTTTAAAAAGAAAAACAAATGAATTCGTTCAGACGAAACATGATCAAATATATTCTTCAAATGTAAAACATTGGAACTCTCTTCTTCTGTGAAAACTGAAATATCAACTATATTCTGTCCAAAAGAATGATGATAAAATAGTTCAATTTTTCGAATTACTTGAATCATTTGTGCTACTTTCAAAACATTTTTTCATTTGTTGAGATTTGATAAATCTTCAAATAAAAAGAAAGAATTCAAAAAAAACATAATAAATGTCTTTTTTTCTCTTTACTTGAACAGATTAAATTATTAAGATCATGGAATATAAAGGGATGTTTAAAAAAAATTATAAATAAACGAAGTTCATCATATTGATTATGAAAAAATTGGTCGAATTGTTGTTAGTCTTAAAACATTTGAAAGAACATAAATATCTTCTAAACATCCAACCTATATAAAAGACAAAAATGACAAACAATTTGTATTCGAGTTGATGCTTAAACGTGTAATGAATGATGAATTTTATATATCCATTGACATGGTAAAAATGAATTGTGATCAACAAAACCTTAAAATCAAAAAGTAGCTAATAACTAACTTAATGCAATAAAATCGACTTATTCATCCAAATTCGAAAAAAGCTACGTAATTATTATCGTTACAAAATACATACTTAGCAAAAGACGAAGCAGTTGCTTGACGGACACGTATATCAGGGTACTGTTGTTTTAATTGTTGTTGTTGTTGTTCAAGATAAGTTAATATTCGAAAATCAATATCATCTATAAATTGAGCTAGACTAACCTATTTTATAAACATACAAAAAAAATTATTATAATCATAAATTTCTTTTATCTACTTTAGCAAGAGTACAGGAACTTGTAGTATGTTGAATAGAATCTTCTAATAATTCAATTCCTATGATTGTAAATGCATGATTATTAATTAATAAAAAAAGTAATTATGTTCGTAAAGCATTTAGTGAAACATGTATAACACGTGCATTATTATCATTAAGACATATAACCTTGAACTGTCTTTTGAATCAGTTGATACAATTGAACATTGATTAATAAAAGAATTTGATAATGATGATAGTGTTAAAAGATGATTTGTTGTTTGAATTAATGTAACAAGTAAATTTGCACATGCACCACGTAAATGTAGATCACCGTATTCACATAAAGATAAAAGATATGTAATATCTTAAAGACAAGAAAAAAAAGATACCTTGATGTTCGATAAATTTTAATGTATTACAAGTCATATAGAGATGGGAATTTCATTTTTTCTCATTAGAGAATTCTATTTCAATTACAAAATTATATCTCATCAGAAATCTTCAAAGACTAAAGAAAAACTTCTTAGAGGATACAATTGATTTCATATCTAGAACGTCAGTTTAGAACTATTTTTTGAGGTAATTGTGTGATTCGATAATTTCAATCTCTGATGTATTGATGCAGGCTTTGAGCTTCAATAAAATGTTCTACTGGACATCTTTTCGAGTCTGATAATGTTCTAGTCTTTTGTTGGTTTCGAAAAAATTAAAAGTAGGAATATGACTAGAGCTGCTGAATCAATATTGAGAAATCTCCGTTCTTGAATTTTCAGATTCCAATATATATATATGTTTCAACAATTTAATAGTGAAATTGTCATATCTATCAGATATTTTTCACTAAAACCTTAAGACTTTAACCAATTGAAGCCACGTCAATTAAACTCTGCCACAATCTCCTTCACCTAGGCCCTCCTACTGTTACGACATTAGAAATAATTTTGGATTATAAAAAAAATCTATTTCACTGAACTGAAACTTTACAAAAAAAAGTCAAACAAGAATTAAACATACTTTCAGTAAGATAAACAAATGGATCAAATTGTTTATAAATACGATAGACATATTGGTATAGCACATTTAACACTAATACATGATTCATCATCACTTTTTATCGTACCATCCATATTGAATATATATCTAATCGGAAAAAAAATATAATTGATTAACAAGTTTAGCAGCTGATATTCGTTTTTCATTATTAATCATTGATGTTGAATCGAATTCATCATTCATTTCAATAAATCAACGTTGATATGCTGAATAAGCTATTGTTTTAGAAAAAAAAAACAAATGAAAAAAAAAATTCTTGTTTTTTTTCTCAATATTTACCTGTTTTTAAGGCTTCACTAACACGAATTTCTTCTATAGATCCAATTTGAATTGAAATTAATAATTGATCAAAATCAAATAAATTTGAATAACGAAGTAATTGAATAAGATTTTTTATTAAACCAAGATAATCAATTATTAAACGTGTACTAGCATTTTGATTTTGATGTTCAAGTAATTGATCTATTTAAATAAAAGACAATTATAATGGATTGAAATTATTATTTGAAAGAAAACTTACTAATTGCATTTGTCATTAGAAAACGTGCTATAACCAT